AAAAAAATCTAATTTAACACTTGCCTTCTTTCACTCCATGTTTAGAAGTGGGTCAAACAAGCTTGTGGCTTGCTGCATTACTGCACTAGGGAATTATGGATCTTAGAATTTGTTTTCATTAAACAACTGTTATACACTATGGTGGTATTGTAAAATTCATATCCCATTTTGGAATATAGTGATGGAGGTTACTCAAAAAGCTAAAAAACATCACCATATGACCCAAGCAATTCCCAACTATGGCCTGTATCTGAAAGGAACTGAAATCAGGATGTGGTGAGAGATGTCTTCACTTCCAATGTTCATTTGTGGCATTTCACAAAGCCAAAAATATGAAACAGTGTAAGCATTCATCCAATGGCTCTATTTTAAAAAAGGTGGATAATATATGACACCATGGTGGAATTATATTCAGCCTAAAAAACCCCAGAAAATTCTATCATTTGTGAAACCACAGGTGGAACCTTAGAAGACATCATGGTAAGTTTAAATAAGAGGGGTTGTAGAGAACCAAATACTGTGTGGGATCTACTTATATATGGGGTCTAAAAAAGTAGAACCAGAAGGGCAGGAGGAGTATGATGGTGGTTACACAGGCTGGGGGAGGGTGGGAGACAGAACAACAAGGTAAAAAGCTATAGTTACGAGGAATATGATTCTGGTCTAGTGGCACAGCAAAGTGGCTACAGTTAATAATGTATATTTCAAAATAGCTGAAAGGATTTTGGATATTCTCACTACAAAGAAATGACAAATATTTGGAGGCGATAGGTGTGAAATAAACTTGATTTGATAATTGTATAATGTATACACAAATAGAAACATCACATTGTTAAATATATGCGATTATTATTTGCAATTGAAAATTAGCTGTAAAAAACGTATAATCACAATGGAAGGCATGGCTCTAGTCCATGGTGCTGAAATCAAGAGGCGCTTAGGGGAAGGGATGGACAGAGAGTGAATGAGGATGGAGGAAAGGAAAGTGGACCCCCTGCCACCTAACGTACACGGGCTTCCTTCACTCAACTTCCCTCCAGGAAGGCAACAAGTGAGTGAATAAATTTATATTCCCACCAATGTTTTTTGTTTTGCTGGCCTCTGTGGCATCATTCTAGTTTTTATAGCTTGTGGAAATTTTCTGGAAAGAGGGGAGGAGAATAAGCTTCAACATATTTACATTTCTTATTCTAATCAGGTAGATGTCAGACACACCACAAAACCCTGAAGATAAGCTTTGTCATGGTTATATTTCGTCTTCTGCCATTTTGATCTCTCTTTGTGAGGAGGGGGGAAAGTAGTAGAACAAGGAGTTCAATCTGTAACTGACTGTGAACAATCACGTGAGATAACTCACTACCTTCGGACCAGCCACTTAACTCCTTCTATTAACAAGTATTTAGTAAATAACTACCACTTAAAGAACTGTGATGAAAATATACAATGAGAAAACTATTTCTTGTCTCCATCTTATAGATACTCCAGAGTTCTATATTAAGTAAACAAAGATATAAAATGATGGCATGATCCAAGGTGCTATGGCTGTATGAAATGGGATTTGAATAGTCAAGGAAGTATTAATAAGATCAGACTTCCCTGAGAAAACTCTGCTTGAGGCTTTTTAAATTGAGATATAACTCCCATACCATAAAATCTACTCTTTTAAAGTATAAAACTTGATGGGTTTTGGAATATTTGTGGAGTTATCCAACCATCACCACACCTAATTTCAGAACATTTTCCTCTCCCAAAGAGAAAACTCAGACCCATTAGCAGTCACTCCCATTCCCTCTCCCACCGAGCCCTAGATGACCACTAATCTGTCATCTATCTTTATGAATTAGCCTATTCTGGATATTTCATATGAATAGCATCATAACTATGTGGCCTTTTGTGACTAGCTTCTTTCATTTAGCATATTTTCAAAGTTCATCTGTGTGAAAGCATGTCTCAGCATTTCCATTGTCATTGCTGAGTAATATGACAGAATTCACATTTGAATCTGGTGTCTGATTCAAGATCCTTAATTTTTTTTTATTTTTAAGAGGGTGTCTCTGTCACCCAGGCTAGAGGGCAGTGGCTATTCACAGGCACCATCATAGCTCACTGCAGCCTCAAACTCCTGGGCTTAAGTGATCCTCCTGCCTCAGCCTCCCAAGTAGCTGGGAATACTGCATGCATCACCACACCAAGCTCTAAGATATCCTAAGATCTAAGATCTTAGGAATGTTTCCCATTCCTAAGAGTAAAGAGGATAAATAAGGCTAGAACCCATACCCTCAATGTTGAATTTTTGCCTGTTGTACTAGTACACTTTGTCCCATTTGCTGAGGCAGTGGTTGCCTTGTTCCAAACTAGCAGAAGATTAAGTATGGCATGACTAAGCTTATCTGAGAGGTTTTATGGGTGTCTGACATTTCTGGTTTAGATAATAAACTTAAGTATGTTTATTCTTCTCCTTTCTCTTTCCCAGAAACTTCCCAAGCTATAGCACAAGGTGGTGCCACAGCAGCAGAGACAAAAGAACAAGGTAAAGAAAATAGATTTTTTCATTTGTTGCCAGGAAGCTGGGTGAAAGAAATCCATGTAGTTTAGGTGGCAGGGTGGGGGTTCCACTTTCCCTGTCTTCCTCATTTGTCTCTGTCAGTTCTTTCCCTAAGAGCTCTTGATAAGTACCATGGAAAGAGCTATGTATGTTCCTTGTATTATCTCCGGCCAGATTTTATGAAATCAAATTCCAAAGAACCCATGATTCTAGTGGATTTGAGCATCAAGCACAAGCTTATTTGACTGACAGGTGCTAACCTCATAGCCAAGAGTAATCAAGTGATTTGTTCAAAGTTACTTGAGTACTAGTAGTAATTATTTTCTTAATTCTGTCTATCAACCAATGTTTAGTGAATACCTACCACCAAAGAACTGTGATAGAATCATATGGGCAAGAAAAATATATTTCTTGCCTTCATGATGTTTATAGCCCAGATTTATGTTAATTAAGCCAAAGATAAGAAATGAAGGTGCTGTGGCTGTGTGGGATGGGAGTTGAAAGGTCGAGGAAGTCGAAGCAGCCTGCCTTGAGGAAATGCTGCTCGAGGCTTTTTTTTTTTTTTTTTTTTTTTTTTGCCTGGTCCCCTTGCTGGCAGAGCGGTGAGATAGGGGACTGGGGAAGAGGACACAGGTGCGTTTGTAGAAACGTTCTTAGTTAAATGAATTTTTTGTGATTTTTTTTTTTTAATCAGTTCAGGAATTAACCTTTCACTGATGTCCTGGCTGTAACTGCCTCTGTCTCGACGTCGGAGGGGATCATGATGGTGCCAGGTGGTCATGCCGGGCTTCCGCTTCCAAGTCCGAACACCGTCCACCGTTGCTGCAAAAGCCCAGTCGGTTTAAAATGATACGAAGAAATGCTTGCGGCTAAAAGAAAAACTGCTGTAACTGAGAATTACTCCGCGGACACACAAGCAAACACGGCCTGCTGCCCTCCACAGAGCTCAGTTACCGGCAGACATTGCTGGATGTCTGAGCAGCAGGATGCGCAAAAAAAACCAGTGTACCACGAAGAAAGATGCTTAACGGTGACCACAGACAAACCCCACTTTTGACTAAATGTAATTAAACTTACCTATATAGCATCAAGACGGTCATCTTAACCATTTAATAATGCCTTTTGATTAGCTAACACTTCTACCTCTA